TGGATCCTGTGATGGGAGCTGGAAAGGCTGCTCTGGTCCCTCCCCAGAAATTCTACTTACCCTTTCATCCTACTGGATTATGAGGGGAAAGCCCAGAGGAGTCCTGCAGCTGATTTCCTGTCTCACAGGGGTCATCTTGATCCCTGTGGAATCCAGCCTGTGAAAGACAACGCTAGCATGTTGTGTCTCAGACGTCCTGCTGACACCACTGCACTTATCTAATCGAACTAATATTGACAAATGGCTGCTTCTCCTTTATTCTGGGGTAGCCCTTGCTCTTTAGATCCATACAATTCCGTGCAGATATGTCAATAGAATCTGAGCTTGTAGCTTTCAGTCATGTACGGATCATTCCCTGGGGTCCTCTGGTGGATTTAAAGGTCATCAGCAGGTAAGAGGTCACTACTAGGCATGTTCCTACAAAACATGTATTGTTTCATCAGTGTTTTTGGGGCTTTCAAGTTCTTAAAGCTAATTTTAGAACAATAGAAAATTTAAATTTAAAAGTGTGCTTGCAAGACTTGGGGAAACTAGGCTGAAATCCTATTAAAATTCACTTTGAATTTGTAAACGTAAAAATTCTTTCCTATAATGGTACGGTTTAAAATAAGGTTTGAAAAAGAACTCCAAACTGTTGAACTTCCCTTTCCCTACAAGATGAAGTTTAACAGATAAAAATGTGTAGTGTCTATTTACTTTTTCCCAAAATTACAGAAGACCTATATTTTTTTCCAGAAGATGACTTTTTGGTAAAGATTATTTGAGCAATGCGAGGCAAAATGAGCAGTATTCATCTTCATGGTGAATACTGCTATATTTTAAAGACAGTTTATTACTTCCTATCTCTCTGCACACCTGTCTAGGATGCTTTGAAGCTGGCTCAGCTCTCCAGGCACTATCTCACTCCATATCATCCAAAGCTGTAGCCCAACAGCTTCTGGCTTTGGGAGTCAAATGCTTGTTTACCAACTGAAAATTAGAGATGGCCCTTGGCTAAAACTTCAGATTTCAAACACCTTTAAGCCTTGACAGTAGCAATAGGGTCTAAATAATCTTGACCCTATGCTAACAAGGTAAGTACAGATAATATTTCTAAAGTTTCAGTGGAATTTTACAAGCTTAGTTTTCTAATGAGCAGCTATAAACTGAAGATTATTTCATTTGTATATCTCCACTAAAAACGATTCTTATTCTTGTGGTTGAAGTTCCTTAAATATATAAGTGAAAATGTAAAGAGTGAAGGATTTAAGAGAGTTATTTTATTACAGAGGTTTTTATTTTTAAATATTTTTTTAAACATTAATTAATCCTAAAGAGCAAATGTATCAAGTTTCTTATCAGAAACAGTTTATTTTACAGTTTCACAGAGAGAGCTAATGAACTGGCTAGTGTAGGTTGTAGAACAAGTAATACCTCTTGCTGGTTGAAATCTTGCATAATGTTAACTTCTTGTGGGAGCCAAGCTTCTCATGGTAGTGAACAGCACAAAAATGGTACCGATAGTGCAGCCTCAGAAAAGAAGCAGATTATGATTGATTTACCATAGCAATGCCATTATACCTCTTGTGCTTCAAGGTCCATATCATGCCCCAGGCGCTTGTAATTCACTATTAAATGATTTGAATTGCAGAATCAAACTATTTCGTGAACGTTGAAATCCCACTTTTTCCTTGGAAAGTTGTACAGTATACGAGGTATTTTGTGCCTCAAAGTAAAGATCCCTTCTAATTCTCTAGCTTCCAAAACTTTTCTACTATGATGTATAAGGACACCTTTCTAGTGCCAGTCTGTGTACCCAAGCTTTCAGAAATGAGTCAAGATCTGCAGATCTATAAGATTCAGGCTTTTATATGTTAAGAATTTTAAGCCAATCAGTGTTTCTTTGTTTGGCTTTGGTGTTTTTGAGTATTCACAATACACTTGGACTGTGTTTCTTGAACTCTGATCTCAGAATTCCCTTTTGGTATTTAGAAAAGCATATAACTGAGGAGAACTGCAAGATTCCTGAGCTGGCAATATTGGAGTATCTATCTTAGCATACTGTTCATCTGTAATTCATGACTGTGAGTCTCTGCAAATTGAAGTATAGTGGCTGTGAGAGTTTGAGTCTCTCTGGTCAAGTTAAAAATGAACAAATGGAACTGCTGGGAATTCACTCACCCCCGTGAGTGAATTAATTCTGTGAGTGAATTATTTAGAGAAAATACGTGAAAAAGGGTTTCAGTCTTATCTACCTGGGTACTTCCCCCAAAATATCCATTGCTATATGCCATTTCATTCAAGGGTGTTTAGTTACAGGAAGTAAGTTTTTAATCCTATTTAAATAGTTAATTCAAATAAGAGTTGAGAGAAAAAAGGTAAAATATTAGCACAAAGGATGGGTATGTCTATTTTACCTGCCAAATGACAGCATTATAAAACGATTTCTATTTTCAAATAGATTTTTTTCAGTAGTTTGAATGACAATAAATAGGGTTCTTCTGACTTGGTGGTAAGTAAATAACAAGTATGATTACAAATCATGCTAGCTTTGATGTAATTAGCTACAGCTTCAGTGAATTTCTTAGAAGAAACCCACCTCAGAGAGGTTTCAGCCGTGTATAAGACTGGAGAAGCTGATTAATTTGTCATCTTGCCCACTGCCAGCCACCATCTGGTGCCCTAGCACTTTGTGGCAGTTTAAATGTAACAGCAACATCCCACAGGTGTAAGAAAAGCAGGAACGAAACAATAGTGAATCAGAAGCGTGAAGTACTGTTGGGCAATATCTGGTTTGCAGTGTATAAACGGATTGTTCTTTCAGTTTCATAAGGAGAATTTGGCTCTGTTAGTGTTTGCCTAAGATTTATCAGACTTGACATAACAAAGATCGGACTTTCTGATTAGGTCTGTACATCACAAAAGCATACACAAAAGCTGGAGTTATTCTTCAAGTGCTGCGCATATGGTTTGAAAGGTATATGACCTCTTGTCTTACTGTTAGTGTGCCCTTCTAGTTCTTGCAGGCTTTCTCAGTGACATACAGTTTAGAGACTTCGTATTTCTTTTAAACTAGAGCGGTATGAATGCATCACTCCTTGAGGAAAATTTTTGGCTGTGTCTCAGAAATACAGCAGGATTTTCATTCTGCCAAGGATTGCCAACAGAGAATAAATCTTGATGGAATTATCCAGGAATTCCTTGAACTTTTCGGTATTATGCAAATATGAGTTTAATTATACTGATTTAGATGATCTTTTATATTTCTACTAAAAAAGGAAGTCTTAAAATAATCAATTTTGAGATGAACTCTTTGGCTATGCACAACAGAGCACTGACAAATATTGATACAACCTGTTTTGATTTACCTGTTATAGCCAGGTTGCAGTCACTTCATAAGGCACTTTTCAAATCTACTTGTAAAATTTCAGAATAATCAACTATTACTAGAGCTGTGTTTAGGAACAGACATGCTGAAGAAAAAACTATAGGAGGTGCCAGTTTTACTACTAACAGGTGCTGTCCAATGGATGTTGCAATTCCCTTAGCAGCAGGAGAATGTTGTGTTGATTTCTCTGGAAGAGAGCCAAAATGCACATGCAAATAGACAAGTGGGTAGGGTGGAACATCTTCAGCCTTGGCTGGTGGTAGAACCAGTACAGATGGGGACATTTGAACAACGTGTTCCCGAGTTGTGCCCGGGCTGTTTTAGCTGCCACCAACAAAGTCAAATGGAAGTGTAAAAGTGTTATAAGTGATTCAGGCTTTAATTCAGAAACAGTGACAGGTTTTTCAGTGTTAGAATATTATTGTAGCTCTCTAGATTTCCTTCCCCTCTGCCCAGTAGTAGGTTATGCTGCTGGACTTTTTTTCCTTGCTAGATGCTTTGTGCATTGTGGCATGGAAGTTTTTTATGAAGGATTTATATAAATCAGTTCTGCTGCTCATGAAGTATCTTTTTAACCATGCCTTCTTCTAGTGCTGTTACTTGGACTATTTGGCACAGACAGTACAAAATTCTTGTTTCAGAAAATTTGGAATCTGGAACTGTGCCTCAGCTCACGAAATTCAGTATACTTGCATAGTGATCTAAATGAGAATTTTAAAAGAAATCCCCAAACTCTTTGAAAACACACTGTCTCTGCCCACTATATGGATATGTAAGAAATTTTGTAAAAGGAAGTTACAGAATAACTTAATAGTACAAATCTTTGCTGAGCTGGGGCTGCTGTCCTGCAGCATGAGCATTTTTATCTAAACCACTTGGGCAATCGACCTGTGACCAGTCACAATTTTCTCTGTTTGTTAAAAAAAGCGTACATGAAATCACACACTTTTTTGTGCATTAATCTTGCCTAAAAAGGTAGACTAGACACAAACCCCATGTCTCAGCCTGTGGGAGGGGGCCTGAGAGAAGCAGGTTGCTGAACTGGCTGCTAACCCAAGGACTCATTCCAAGGTCCAGGAGCCCCGGCTTTGGAGATAGTGTTGGTGAGGTGTGTACGGCTGGGCCTGGACCTTGGCCTCCATTATCCCTTCTGCCATCCCAGTGGGTCAGGTCAGCTGGGTGTGGGGCAGGGCAGGTGGGGCAGGCGGGCAAGCTGGGGCTATGTCTGGGAACAGCAGCGTGGGCAATGACCTCGTTGTTTGTGTGACCCTCGGCCACACAGACCGGGGCCGGTGGCAACCGGGAGTTTCGCATCCTCCCACGTGCCCGCGCGTCGGGCGATCTCGGACGGCCCCGCGCCACCTGCTGTGGTGGCCCAGGGTGGCGGGGAGCCCGGCCGCTGCCCTCAGCCCCCGGACGGCGAGGCTCAGCCGGCCCTGGGCGAGCGGCCCGACGGCGCGGCGGGGACCGAGTGGCGACACTGAACAGCTGCCGCCCGCCCCGGCCCCCACTACGCCCCCCGGGGAGGGGCCGAGCGGGCGGGCCCCGCTCCCGCCCCGCAGGGCCCGTGGGCAGGGGCGAGGGCGGCGCGGCGGCGCTGCGCCATCCGCCGCACTTGTCGCATCCCGCCGGGATGGAGGTGCAGCTCCCAGGCGCGTCCGACGCCTCGAGCTTCGCCGACGATGTGCTGCGCGTCTTCGGGGCCAACCACAGCCTGTCGGCCGGGCAGCTCTCCGCGCTGCTGCAGCGCCTGGGCGCCGCGCCCGCCCTGGGCTCGGCGCTGCCGCTCGCCCACTTGCACCACAACCAGGTACTGGCACCGCGGGGGCTCCGAGGCAGTGGCCGGGCAGCTCCGTAGTGTCTTACGTCTCGCCGGCCTCGTGTTTCCTCACGATGAAGCCGGGAAGGAGGGAGGGAGGGAGGAAGGGAGCCGGGGCTCTGGGCTCGGGTTGCGGGCAGAGGTACCGGCGCGGCGGTGAGGGCAGCGTGCGGCACGGGAGAATCGTGCCGTGCCTCAGTGAGCTGCTCTCCGTCCTCGCTGCTCGGCTCCTAAACTGCCCCTTTTCCCGGTTAAATAGCATCTGTACCGCAGCAAGGAGTGCATGGGAACCAGTTGGTGTTTCCCTCCGAGAGCTGAATAAGCAAATCGTCAGGACTTGTTAAAATACAGTTGTCATGAGACAGCAGAAGCTCGATTATACAAGCAGGTCTGGTAGCGTAAAGAAACTTTCAGAAATTTTCAAGTCTTTTATCTAAGTTGAGTGCAAAGCGTACACCCATCGATTAATCTACCAGAAGCTTTTTAAAGGGTTGTTTTATTTACTGACTGGATATCACTGGAATATTACTTCTCTTTGAAACATTTGTACTCTGTTTAATGTCTCCATAAGAAACTCAGATATCATTGCTACTTTTAAAGTCTGTGTAATTTCACTCACTTGGACCATCCTAGACTGAATTTGTTTCCTTGAAGGGAAGTTTTGAGATTGGTAGTGATTTCCATGTGCTCAAAATTCAGAGGCACAAAGTTACTCACAAAAATGAAAGGAAAGCCGGAATGACTGTTTTCTCTGGTTTGCTGATACTCCATAAGAAACAGAAGAGGGATGGTTCTAGGGATCTTGAGAAATGTTTTTTAACATGGAGTAGTGGCTCTTCTGCATTTTCTGTGAAGGAGACAAACCTTGAATAAGCTCTCTTTGTTTTAGAAAGGTTTAATTGGGACTTCCCTGAAATCAATGCAGTATTCAGTATAAGCATCGCAATGTTTGCAGGAGTCACTGCTTTCGAATCTCACAAATTGAACAGTGTTCCAACTCAGTGTGTTACAAATATAAACATTCCCAGCCACACATGCTAAATACAAGTTCGCAGTGTTGAGTATGGCTATGAAAAGCAGCTTTCTTTAAAAGGGCATAGAAATGAGTAGATTCTTCAGTCCTTCAGGTTTTCTGTCTGCGAAAGCACGTAGGTCTCATACACAGATTTTGGCACAGGCTATAGAAGGGGAAAAAAATAATGCTCTTATTACTATGGATGCATGTTCCTCATAAGTAATTTGAAGTTTAACTGAAACAATTTTTTTACAGGCCTGTTCTAATTGTATTCATGTTGAATAATATGTAGGATATCATACTGATATGAAATTATTTTTGAAATGAAAATTACTTTTTTGTTGAGTTACTTGTATTCTTTCTTAAAATTTGCCTTATGGCTGCTCCATCAGCTTGAGCCATTGAAAGCAGTGCATTTTAATCCCTCATAGGTGTCAGGTATGTCTGTGACTTTGGGCAGGTGGCATGAGCAAATGCACACTCACACCACGTAAATCCTGTGTGACTGATTTTAAACACCATGAATCTTCGTGCTTACAAGCTGATAATTCAGCATCTTCTGGTTATGATAGAAGACATGAAGTGGCCTAATACAAGTTTGAATGTTGGAAGGCATCAGAGGCCTAAGCTCTACTGATTCTTGACAGAGGAAAGTGAATACCTCTGGAGAGTGACTCAGTTCTTCCTCAAGGCGGCTGAGTCCATTCAGGCTGATTGTAGGAGGGCACAAGGTTTATCTTAGACTTTCAGTTCTTCTGTGTCCAGAGCTAGTTGGACAACTTCCAGGCCTTTCTTCGAATCAAGATAACATAGCCCTGCTCTTTAGAGAGTTCCTCATCCCAAGCCTGAAGGTATTTTTAGTGGAGAGCTGGTCTGTAAGGGACAGGTGATAAAGCACCTGGCAGGAAGGACCAGTCTCTGTAATTTTAGCCTGTATTAATTAGTGTTTAGTTTTAATGTCTCATTCACAACAATTTTGGTAGGTTTATTAATCTCATGAGAAGATCCACAAGAAGCTCATCCATTTTCTTAAAGATTGAAAGTCTGGATGTGTAAGCCAAAAGAAGATGGATTGATTTCTGTTTTCCTTTGATACCAGGTTGACTTGAAAAGAAAAGGGAGAGTAAAAAATCATTTAATTTGCTGGTCATAGTGTTTGAGTGTATACTTGTGTAGATGTTTGTGGTAGCTTGTGTTCTATGATGTCTGTAAAGATGCTAATTTTTTTAATGGGCATTGGAAAGAAGGCTTGCTAATGTAATCTTTTTTAATGCTTTGATCTGTAGGTGCTAAAATCATATTCCTATTTCCTTCTTTGAATTTCCTAAATCTCTATTTATGTCAGTCTAGATGTTACACCTGAATACTTTGTTTTAATGTAATGCATTTTAATTTTTAAACAAAACATTTGGACAAAATTAAATCAATTTTCTAATTAATAATTGTAATCAGATATAATTACCTTTCATCTCAGGATGAGTCAAGATCTAGTAAATTTAGTAGATAGACTAGAACAAGGCTAGTATATTCTTTGAGTTGGGGATTTTTTTGGTAGTTTTTCACTAGTTACAACTTGTCCTTTTGAAAGAATGGAGACGAGTGACAGAGTGTGGCTTAGGGTCTTGATCCAATACCATGACCTGATGTTGCCTGGCCAGTGGGATGCTAAATAGGCTTATTTGTTGTACCCTCTAAGTGTCTTTTTTCTACAATATTTCCAGCAAATTTCAGTATTTGTGGACAGTTCCCAACTCCCAGCATGGACAGCTGCCTTGCACATGTCGTGGGGTGTGTGAAATCCCTAAAGCACACAAGGGCATTTGAGCAGCTTCATCTGACTCTTTCTCATGCAGTGCTGCTTATTGAAGGAATGATCATCTTACCATCCAGTTTTTACCTGTCCTAAGTGACACAATGGTGTTACCACATCAGCATTTAGATGTTTTCATTTCTTACAAGCAAGTTGAGGAAGGCACAGCTGTATGTCTTTATTTTGCCTTATCTATGCTCACACTAAGTTAAAAAAAAGAATGCAAGGAAAAAAAAAATGTTAAATAGGCATTCACATTTATTGTTTGCTGTTGCTGCTGTGGGACCCACTGCTCAGCCCTAGGGTGGGCTGGGCTGGGCTGGTATTTAATCTGGCAACATCTAGAAATTGCAGTGCAGAATGCTATTCAGTATTTTAGTGCTTCACTTGTGGAATGCTACAGATAAAACAGGTAGAGCAAAGATAATAACACAGCAGGAGATCAGAGAAGGGACTGATGCATTTAAAAGGTGGTTGTTACTGCATCATTTTTTATTATTTTCTTCAGTTAGAAGAATCCCATACTGTTTGATCATTTTTGGGAGAGGCTTACCAGGGTAAAAGTAGATATCTATTCGAATAACCCAGTTGATAGTTTAATTTTTTTCTAAGTCTCAGTATTCTGTAACTGTGTAAAATCTATGATTCAAGTCCTCCCCAGTTTTGATGAAAACATTTTAAAATTTACTTTTTAACAGTTCAGGGATGATCAGTTATGTTACATATTTTTTGCAATTGTTTGCTAAACACTCCGTGACAGTCACATTAGAGGAAACCCTCTCACCTTATCACTGTGATAAGATTTTGCTACACAGCAGGGGACAGACACAACAGCACACTTGGTGAGTCAGGACATCATTTTCAGTCCCCTGTTCCATGAGGCTAAATTTTCTCTCTGATGAGATGGTCCATCAGTCTTACAAAGTAAATATCTTATGTTTTTATAGCTGTGTGGCTGTGTTAATGTATTTATTTATCCTGAAAAGATAAATGCAGTGTTTTGCAGTGTGCAAACATGCCTTGCTCCAGTCCAAGGCTTCTAATAGATTCAGTCTTTTAATTAATCCTTTAATTGTGCTGGTGAACTCATGCAAGCTTGCTTTTTAGCTCTTGGGTGTATGTAGGAATTTACTGAGAGTATGAGGTGATTTATAATAATGAATCATTTATAAGAATCATTATCCTCTGGGTTTGTCCCTGATGAAAATAATAATAGTAATTAAATACAGTGCTGTTTCTCAATTTCCCATGAAAGAACTCTTCTCTGATGGTATTTCTCACTTCCGTATTTGTGTGTACAAGTGTCAGGTTTATTAATTTATGCTGTGTCTGATTTAGTTTCTCTCCATTATCTGTTTTCCTACAACGTTGTTTAGATTTTTGTGAATTAATGTTAATACTAATATATTGGTATTTAAAAATGCTAATACTCTATTGTGTATTTTAGGAATAGTTAAAGGTGATTTCTTTCAGAGGTAGTTATGGTGTAAATTCTCGGCTCTTACTGGCTCATTTTTCTAACCACAGACGTCCAGAAATGGCTCTGTGAGCTGGTAATAAGTACCATACAGGAACTATTCCTGTAGACCATAATTATCCTCCCTTTGTTTTGCTGTGGGCATATTAGCCATGTATTTTGTATTATTCCAAAGTGCAGAGTTAACAGTAAAATTATTAGGCACATAACCAGTTTAGAAAGCTCCAATGGTTTGTGTATTGGCCTGTTAAAGACTGTATCTTCTGCGATGATTTCTTTATTCACTTTCATGTAGATTAAATGGAGCAACATGTTTTAAAGCAAAAAACAATCTTATGTTATAAGCTCTATTTATCTTTGACATATCTTTGACGTTAGCATTGGCATTGAAAGATATAATTATATGCACTTTGCTTCTATATATTTGAGTCTTTGGGGTCTCATGGCCTTAACAAAATTTGCTCTTAGGTTTAAGTTCAAGCATGTACTTGAGTACTCTGTTGGACTGGCTTGTTAAAGAGGAAGGACAGAAACATTCTGGATATAATTTAGCTAAAGTCATTTGAATTGGCCTGCATATTCTCTTCCTCCAAGCAAATCAAAGAGAGTCACATTCTGGTGATGAATGCATACCTTTCACCTCTTGGACAGTAACAGAAATATTTATTAACAGAAGTGGAAGCAGCTCTGATGAAATAAATTACTTGCAATCGCTCTGGCTTATCTCTATCTTGCCGTATAAATTATAATGTTGAATTATTAGAGATGTGCTGTGGAATCTGAAGGCTGGCAAATCTGAGAAGAGCAAGGAGTGACCATTTGTGTTTATTTTGCTAAGGCGTCCAGGGCTCTCTGCTTGAGATTTGCTACAGGGAGAGTTATGCTGTAATTGATGTCTCAAATAGAGGAAAACATTAGATTTTTTTTGGTCTGGAGACTCAACACTGGTATGTGTTTGTTATGCAGCAATAACTGCACAAGACTATTGTTTACACCCAGAAAAAGAATACTTTCCCATATCATTGTAGGAAATAAAGTATGTAAATGAACAGAAAATCTTAGATGAAAGATTTCAGCAGTTTGGAACATTTCACATAAAAACACTCCATTTTTCTGTAGGTGTATCTTTTATGATACTTCGTGGTTTGTATTTTATCTTTTTGGTTGAAAATGACAAACAGAGGAACTAGCCTTGCCTTGCCCCTAGCTTGGTTTAGCACTGCCAAGTACATTTATTGTTGACTCATCAGACACTGCTATGTCCTGAGCTAAAGGCAAAGTGAAGATCCCAAGCAGATGTTTATCTCATGGTTTTGCAAGACAGTGTTTGCCCTTAAGAGTTACTGCTGTAAGACAAATGAAAAATGTTTAGCTTTAGACCATTTTTAAGGAGCTAATTTGGGGAGATAAATAAGAAGTGTTGTTGTGAAGTAGAAGTGGTCACTTACATGAATAAACTGTTGCTGAATTACCAATCATTTTCTGATATCCTTTGTTAGATTTTAACTGTACCTAATCTGATCTTAAATTTAATTATTTTGTAAGTGCATTAGGTTTTAAGTATTTTGAAGCTATTTTTGCAAATATATTGTGAGGTTTAATTGAGTTCTCAGGGCAGAAAATCTGCAAATGTCTCTTTAAAAAGTGGTTTATTAATTTGTGATTTATCTAACTCAAAGTACTTTGAATCATTTCTGCTTCACATCAAACAATCAGTATTTTCATACACAAGGTACATTGTGTAGACTTCCTTGAAAATGCCTTACAGTACTTCTGTGTTGTAATTCTTGAATTTCTCATTGTATGTCTTACTTGGTTTGCATTAATGTGTTAAGTTATCAAAATCTCTTTTGGTTTCAGTGCTTGTCTGGTGAAGAAATCTTTTCTTTGCATGGGATACCGAACAACAGTCACATATCAAATTCTACCTTCTCTACAATATGTCCTGCGGTTTTGCAACAGCTAATTTTTCACCCGTGTGATCATCAGGAAAGCTTTGTGGACATATCTAAACCACATTCTTTGCAAGGTTAGTTACTGTTATTTTCATTAATGCTATGACTGGAGTGGGGTTTTCTTCGAGGAATAGTAAGCATTTATCTGTAAACATCAGGAGTGCCTCTTGTTTGGGATGATACGGTTCCAAAATGGAAACATAAACTGCTGGTTTAGGTCAGCAGACTATTTAAAATAGTGTAAGAAAGGGGAAAGATCTGACTAGAAAGTTATGGAATATTTTTCCCACTTAAGGAAGAGCCTTTCTGACTTATTTTGTTTGGATAATGGTTTGTGCCTTGAAACTCATACTTATAGCTGTTTAATAGAAGAAAAGATGAGTGTACAGAAGGGAAGTTTGTGCAAGTAATTTGCAGTGGGAAGTGAGACTTGGTGGAATCTGTGTGCATGGAGGCAGGTTAAGTTAAAATCACTTGGGCTGCATTTGAGTGGAGTTATTTGCAGGGAGACTGTCAGGTAAGCCAGTGGCTGGTTTACTGAGGAAAAATACTCATATTCTTTCCAAATTCTGACTCCTACTTTCATGTCATCTTCCATGATGACCCCTCCAGGAGGAAGATTGTTACATGGTTAAGTAGCCTTAATCTTCTTTCTTCCTCTGTATTTATTGTGCACAGAGCTGTACAGTGTAGTAAGAAATATTGGACAGGGAATATTTATCTAAGTAAAGAAATTGCTTGTTGCATTAAGAAGGGTCAAATATATAATGACTTATTTGAGTCAGTATTCCAAATGAACTTATTGTTCTAAGGGAGTCAGCTGAATTAATGTTAAAAGTCAGGATGTTGGATTGGTAATGCCTAGTGTCAGTATTCAGAAGAAGAGATACAGAAGTGCTTTTTGTAACTTTTGAAATACTAGTATTAATAACATTCTGATTAATATAGGTGATCATCTTTAATAAGAATTAGACATAATTCCTAAAACATAGCTGTGTTTTGCTGTGTCAGTGAAAGATTAGAATTCTAATTGAGTAATCACTGAAACCATGGCATCAATTTAGCATGACTGCTCTAGATTGCATGTGTCGTATGGAGACACATATTACCACGAAGACCATAAGATCTGCATTGGAGAGTAGGGCCTGTTGTTCTCCTTTTTTTTTTTTTTTTTTTGGAAGGGTGTGCTGGTTATGTAGGTTGAACATGGAATCCTTGACCTACAGTTAGCCTCCTGAGCTACTTAGACCATCCTTCTTGTTTTTCTTTTATCTGGCCAGCTCAGAAGCAATGTCCAGTAGCCAGATAAGCAAGGCACTCTTCTCCCTGCCCCTCCCTTGGCTGCAGCACAAGAAATCTGCAAGGCCCATGGTTAGGGCATTTTAAACCCCTGCGACACATAGTGGTACCTGTTTGAACAGAGATTCCTGGAAAGGCCCAGTGCCCAATGCAGCTGTTGATTTATCCACCCCCACCCCATCACAATGTGAATCTGTATTGCAGTAGCATTGAGACCAGATGATTTCAATTACTGCCCATGGAGCAAAATCCTCCATTCCTGCTTCCAGCTGTGCCTGTGTGAATTTTGTCCCCAGAGACCCCCACTCTCCTAACAGTACGTTGTCTCCAAAATTACTAATGGACAAGACATGCAGAAGAAACCAGTTCAATGAGCTTTAGGAACGGCTACTCAGAATAAAAAATAAGTGATGCCAAAGCAGAGTAGAAGTTGGAAGGCAATAGATGCTAACATATTTTTTCCTGGGATTTGTAAAACTCCCAACTAACCTCTCTGATCTTGGGGCACACTCAAGTCCTCCCCTTGCTTGCTTCTCTGAAAGATAATGGGGAGGTGTATAGAGATGCATCAAACAGCTGAAACTGCCCCACAGCATTCCTCATGTCCAAGATAAACACTTTCTGTGTTTCTGCTTGACTTCTTCAGAAAGGCATTCATGCACTTACTTCCTCTTCATCCTAGGACAAGGTTAAGGAAGAGCCTGAGCCTGCCTGTTCTTATAAGGAGCAATGCTGAGTAGCAGTGTTCTAAAGAGGGCATCTTGCACTCCTGCAGTTTTATTTCTTGGATTTCTTGTGCCTTTGGCTATCCTGGCTGTCTCTTTATTGGGGCTACAGTTTAGGGACTGAAAGAGTAATAGTAGTTAGCAAAAGTTGACTGAGCCATCAGTCTCAGGGGAAGAATCAGCACTGCATCTGACTGCCCTGCTCTGGTACATAAAGTCAGACTACCCAGCTTTCTGAGATGTGTGGACTCATGAAAAGGCTAGTGTGGATGGAGTCCTAATGAATAAAACCATTCTAAGGCCGTAGTGCATGCATGATATTGTGAAATACAGTCCCTAATACAGGAACTTTGGCAACATTGCTTGTCTTGGAATTTTTTCAACACAGTTTAAAGTGTACGTTTTTGCACAAAATATGGGTAGATATCCATGCACTAAACTAAAAGACTCTTGTGCTTCTGTAGTAATCCCAAATTTAGACAGTTTTTTCTGACTCACAATAAAACTGGAAAGACATTTATTATAAATTTGATTTCAAAAATATAGTTACAATCTTAATTGTCATTTAGCTTAATAAAAATTAATCTATGTAGCTTAGTGAATCTACCATATCTAGTGGTGTGTTTTTCCCTCTCTCTATGTAGCTCTCTCAAAATTGGTAAATGAGTGTTGTAATTGGCATTGATACATCTGCAAATGCTTTGAATGTTTCTAATGCTTTCTGTTCTTGACATAATATGAAATCCATTTTATAAAAACATTGTGACACTTTGCAGAGTAGAGCCATCCCAGTTGCAGGTGAAGAATCCAGCTTAGTGTGTTTGCCATTTGTGTGACAGAAAATAATATCTGACCATAATGTGATCTGTTAGTTTCTGCTATGGAGAGAGGAATTTATGCTAACTTCCCTACATACATACAGGCTTATAATGATGCAACTTTCTGGATTATATGAAACTGTTCTCATCTAGGCAACATTATATTGGCATTGATTATTATTTGTGGTTAATTTTTAAAGGCAAACCCTCTGTCTGTGTGGATTACTTCGTAGTTCCGTGTCATCACTTGAGGCACCCTTGTAAGACCTCTTTAGCACAACTTTTAAAGTTTTTCTCTATACTCTCAGGGATTTGAGATGTCCCTGGGAAAAAAAAGTTTTCCACAGAGGCACAAGTTTGTAAATGCTTACGAGCAACAACAACCACACCACACCTCTCCAACCTATAATGCAGGCTCCAGAGTAATTATGGTACAAATTTGTGCAAGTCCTGGTGCCTGAATACTGAATATCTGAGATTATGCTTATGGTGAAGGAAACAAAATTATGCTGAACCCTGGTGCATTTACTGATCCTTAGGAAAGGGTTTTCCCATTGCATATCTAAATCACATCCTTCTTTTTGAACCTAGAACCTCTTTTTTATGTGCTCATTTCTGTACTGTAATTATTTCAACTATCAGCTAGCTATCACCTCACCTGTTGATAAGCAGTGATGGGCAGCATTTTCAGCCAGCAGAATTTCTTTCAATGAGAGGAGGGAGGAGGGTTAGGAATGGAGATACCTCCTCAGGGTGGTTTGAAGGAGTCATCCTTTATCGGGAAGAATTTTTATATTTAGTACAGCCAAGACAATGGTCTTTTTGTCATAGAGGTTCTTAGAAGTTAATGTCAATTAGATCTGACTCTGGGACTAGTAAGAAGTTTTATCTTTTTTCTGCTTCAGCCATTGGTCTAAGCCTTGATTTTTACTCTTCATTGACTGTAGAGAGCTCTCATTTATATTAGCAGCAGATAGGCCAGCCCAAATATTCTACTAGCCAATGGTTTCCATTTTTAATATGGTTGTTCCAGAAAGTGTTTTCAGATATTTCCTTTCTGCAGGTATGTGTCTTAACTGCCCATGTATTTTAAGAATTTAAATTTGTGAGTTTTAATTTCAACCAAGGAATGACTCTTTTACGAGTTCCATGCCAATTTAGCCATTAGAGAAATCCCAAGCAGACTGAAGTGAGTGTTATACTAAAATATTTTGTATTTCTCTTTTTTATCCACAGTTTGGGGGTTTGGGTTCCTGGCTGTGTCTGTCATTAACTTGGCATCACTTCTGGGATTGATTTTAACTCCTCTCTTAAAGAAGTCATATTTCCCCAAGGTTTTAACTTACTTTGTGGGCTTGGCCATTGGTACTCTCTTTTCTAATGCAATTTTCCAGCTCATTCCAGAGGTAAGTGAGGGGAATCGTTATTTGGTTTGCATACTAGTTTCTAAAGTGTATTGATTTTAAAAGTGTGGGTTCTGTGTGTGGGTTGCAATCTACAAAGAGTTTTGTGTGGGCTTCAGTGCCATTAGTTATGATCCCTCTCGGGAATGAGTCAGAGGCATCAAAATCTATGTCTTGTTGTTCATTGGAAAGGACCAAGGACTATTCTGCCTCTAAACAAATAGAGAAATACATTAGATAAAGTTGTAGTGAACTTTAATAGACTACACTGTTGACATTTTGTCCAAGTTTAAAAAATGTAACGAGATCAGAATCTGTTATAATTTCTACTCGTGGAAACCTATGGTTGGTATAGTGACAGTTTTTATAATAGAGGGGTATCTGTGTATTGTGACATTTGTTTGTTTTTCTGGAAATGTACTAAGATTACAGACTAATTTGCATTGCTTTTTTCTTCACTATTAGGCATTTGGGTTTGACCCGAAAGTAGATAACTATGTTGAGAAAGCTGTTGCTGTGTTTGGTGGATTCTATATTCTCTTCTTTGTGGAAAGGATTCTTAAAGTGGTACTAAAGCTCTATAACAAGGTAATGAAACTTATCACTAACTGAATGAGCCTTGCCTTCAAGTACCTGTCATATTTCGTGATATAGTTGCTAGATGAATAAAATGTGTGTGAGGGTTTTCTATTTTGTCTGAGTGATTCAGCCTTACTGTGTGTTCTGATATATCTGTTTAAAACCCATATGAATAGGGGAAGAAATCTCATTTTTTTGAGGGAGTTACAAGCAGCTCTGGGAATGGAATCCAGGTGTGAGCGTGGTCTGCTGCAGTTGCTCTCAACATCCAAGTTGTTGCTGTGGTAGCTAAATGCATCAGAAAAATGTGGAAATACGTAAGAGTTGGGGAGAATGAAGTCTGCCTGTGGAGCTCCTCTTTGGGCAGGAGAAATCAGTGTGACAAACACACCTTCTTGGTCATCTGCAAAGTGCAGCTGTGCTGATAGGGCCTGACTGGCCTTCAGTAACTTCAGCTCTGTGTCTCCCCAAGCTCTGGTACACAGACCTGCTTCAGTGAACACTGCAGGTGTCTTCTCTTGCCCAGGGCTCTGCATTCTACCCCGTGTCAGAGTACTTGTTTTCTGTGTGCTCACTTGAGTGAAGCTGAATTTTTCTCAGAGAAGGGTGCCTCAAAATTTTTGGTCCTCCCTGCCTATTACTGGTGAAGGGAAAGTGCGCTGTCTTCCTACTCTAACCTCTCTTCAGTTTTCTTCTCCCAAAGTGTTACTGAAATTTATGATGATTCAAGTGATACTGAAAATTATGATGATCAATGTCCCTCATTGGCAATAGCTAGAAATAGAAAAAATGAATTTGTTTTTCTTTATTTATGTACACAGACAAAGGCTAATAGGCTCTCTTTGACAAGCAACCATAACTAACCAGAAAATGTTGATTACTTTTGGTCAAGTTGGCTTGAGAGGTTCTACATAAAGGTATAAAAATGAAAAGTCCCATGTTTTCTGATTAGCTAAAAGTAAGAGATAAATTAGGAACTTAGATATGTTTGGAGTTCATTAAAAAATTAAATGTTCACTGCTGCTCGTTTCAGCAATCACTTGTTGAAATCAAGGCAGCATAAGATGATCTCCCCCCTTTTTTCTTTTTGTCTTTATTTTCTTACGGTGCTACTTTGGTTTTTTTTTAATTAGCTACCTACTTGTTTATTTGTCACCTAGACTGGCCATAATTACTTTGAAAATGGAGAAGAGAATCATTCTCAGGATAAGACTAACTCACCCAAACCACCATCATCCAGCAATGGGGGAGCATGTTATGCAAATTCAGCTGTCATAGAGAGTAATGGAAATCTTGGTTTTGACAGCATCAGTGTGGTCTCAGCACAGGTATGAAAATTGTGTCTATTTATTTTATCCCTGCCAATTATATAAGCATATATGAAGGGAGAGTTAATATGAATTTTTATTACCTTTGTCAAGTTCTTGTAGACTTACAGCTTATAATTTGGTTGAACCCTATGAAAAAAATACAGGGTTTTGGGGCAAACTTGAAAAAGCTGAATGATGCACTCAATTTGTAGCCAACAAAAAGGACTATGTTATATCAGTGTTGGAATGGGTTGGATAGAGAGATGTAATCTAATCAGATTTGAATTTGTATTTAATTTGGTTAATTTTGGTTTTGTTATTGTTACTGTTTTGCTTAAAGAGTAATAATGTGTTTTATTGTTGTGATAATGTTGATCATACAAAATGATCCGTATTTTGTTCCTGAATACATAAACCCATTGAGTATGAGAATCTGATTCTTCTGAATCAATGATTAAAGAGTAAAACTAGTACAGCAACTTTCAGGCATTACATTCTGAACACTGCTTGTGATAATGCAGTATATTTGGATACTGTGGGAATCACGGAGGTCATGTGCTGAGACAGAAGCCGAAACAGGTAAAAGAAACCTCTGCTCTTTGTGGAGACAGAAACAGTGTGGCCAGCAGGACTAGGGAAGTCATCATTCCCCTGTGGCACTGCTGAGGCTGCACCTCGAATCCTGTGTTCAGTTTTGGGTCCCTCACTATACGAAACACTTTGAGTGTGTCCAAAGTAGGGCAGCAAAGCTGGTGAAAAGAGTTGGCGCGTGAACCCTATGAGGAGCAGGTGAGGGAGCCGGGATTGTTTAGCCTGGAGTAAAGAAGCTTGGGGAGTACCTTATCACTCTCTAAAACTGTCTGAAAGGAGCTTGTAGCCAGGTGGGGGTTGTGATCTTCTTTCCAGTATTAAGTGACAGGGCAAGAGGAAACAGCCTCAAGTTGTGCCAGAGGAGGTTTAGATTGGATATTAAGAAAAAGTTATTCACAGAAAGGGTTGTCAAGCATTGGAACAGATTGCCCAGGGAAGTGGTGGAATCTCCGTCTCTGGAGGTGTTTAAAAGGTGCATAGAGCTTTTGCTTAGGGATATGGATAAATGGTGGTCTTGGTAGCATTAGCTCAATGGTTGGACTCCATGATCTTAGAGATCCAACCTAATGATTCTACGGTATTGTGTAGCAACAAAAAAGCCGTCATTGCTCTTCTCCTCCTCCAGTGAGGTTCAAAAAGGCTGGGTCAGGGGAGGCCCAGTGTGGCCAAGGTGCTTTGGGGCAGTTAGGTTAATGACAGGAGGGTAGGTATGCATTCAGCTTTACAAGAATGTAGTATTTAAGACAAAACCATATGGCATAAGCTAATGTGTACCCAAGAGAAGTTTAATGTGTCCTCATAATCGATAACTTGTTGAAGAGGGCAAATACAGAGTAGTCAGAAATCGAAATGAAGGCTTTAAAGAGGAAGTCTGAGGCCTGATTGTGCCAAGGTGAGGTAACTATTTTCAGCCATAGGGATCCAGCTATATTCTCTCCTTTAATGCCAGAAGAGATTGACTGGCAGAGTAAATTAGTCATGTACTTTCTGTTTTCACTTGCAGCAGTAAGTGCAACCTTAGAAACCTTTGTGCTCTACCCGAAGTTTGTATCTACTATGCATTGAAATATGTCTTGACAACAGAAACTTTGAAGTAAAGTTATTTCAGAGAAAAATTGCTGAAACGTCTGTGTTCTTGAGTGCACATTGTTAGAGCTATATAACAAAACTTCACAGTGCCTTTATTTATTGCCTAGAGGCAGTGTCAGGATTCCTTCGTGGTCATGTGGGCTCTTCCAGAGGACATGTCTGGTTCGTGTCTGAGGGAATCAGAAATGTATTTGAAATACATGAGATATCTGAGATCTCATAGGCTAAAATAAGAGAGTCTCTGTATAATTTCTTAAGTTTGGGAATGAAGGAGATGTTATTACTTTTCAAAAAACGCCCTGTGTTTAGAAGAGCATAAATACCAAGGATGTCTTTGGTTTACCATGAGCTGAAGAGATACAAATGATGTAGAACTGGACTAATAATTAATAAAAATTAAACTGGATAGTCCAGTTGGATATTAGAGCTCCTCAGCTGGCATCTCTTTTGATGTTTGCTAAACTACCATGACAAAGTGAAAATAGTCCAGAGGAGACAGATATTGTTAATTTTTTGCTTTCAAATCTTACGTGTTTATAAGGTATTTTGTCAGTAGTCTGCCTTATCTTAAACGTGAAGATTATGTATTACTTGTTCATCTATTTCTACTGGATACATGATCTAGTAAAGTTCAGAATGTAAATCCAGAGAAGCCATTCCATCGTACTTTATATAATTTAGATAAGTTGTAAAGACATTATTAAAAATGGATGACATAGAATTATGATACTTCAGAGCTACACAGTAAATGTAAATGGCAGATAGCTGTATACATACATACATATATACATATATATATATATATATATATGTAAAATCAGAAACTGATTCCTAGTTTATAAACTACAGTTGTATCTGCATTTTGAAAGTTTGGATCAAGAAAGTTATTTTTAGAAGTAAATCAGTACTGGTATCCTAAATTAATTAAATTAATTGCAATTACTTAAAACGTTCTTTTTGGTAGAAAAAATGGATGAATTATTTAAAGTAAAAATTTGTGCATTAAATCAAACTCACTTTCCTCAGTGAAGCTAGAAACGTGTGCAAGAAAGATGATGTGCTTTAGGCAGAGATCAGGATGATCTACAAAACAATGCTTCCTCCAGTTTGTAGTCAGCTTGAAGGATGGTCTCCAGAGAACAGAAAAAATTAGGGAGCAGATCTTTATCTTAGGAAGCTGGATGAATTGGTGGGAGAGCTTTACTAATTGTATTTGGGCTTTCTTATACTCATGTATTTTGTGGGGCTTACTTTGTAAGACTTCTTTCTTAAAGTGAAAAGCTTTTTTTCATGGATTAAGGGAGAGATCTATTACTTGTAAGTGATCTTAAGTGATCCTATCTCAAACAGAAATAGTACAGGTACAAATTAATAATCTCAAAAAATGACTGGTACTGCTTGTGTTAGAGGAAATGTTGAGAGGAAAGCCTGTAAAAATTAAAGACAAGTGTGTAGTACAAATCTAAAACCTATGTGTTTGAGTCAGCAGGGAAACTCCAGACTTTTTGATACCATTGCTCATTTTCACATCATAAAAGTATAACTTCCTGTGGACTGAATAGGAGCTGCTTTGTGGCAATTTTGGCACTACTCAACCAAGGCTTTATTATCTATGAGTTTCAGACAGTGCAATAGGCACCTGACTCAAATTCCTGACCTGAATTTTTGTCCTGTCCCAAGGCAGCTCCTACATACAAGAATGTAGTCAGATAAGAGTCCTGTGAGCAAATCATGCAGCAGACTTCATAGCTCTGTCCTTAAAGATTTTGTAAGAATTTATTAATAATTTTGTTTCTTAGAAGTTCAAAATTCAGTTTGTCTGGTAGCATTTGCATATGTAAAAACTAAAGCAATTTGCAATGTTCTTTTTAATAACTAAAGAAAATTTCTTGGAATACTCTTTGCCCTTCTCTTAAGGAGAAGGAGGTGTTCCTCTCCTAATTCAAGAAGTGGAGAGGTGTGTGGATGAGGGGAGAGCAGTGGATATTGCCTTATTGCCTGCCTTAACTTAAACAATGCTTTTGACAGTGTCTCTCACAACATCCTCACAAGCAAACTCGGGAAGTGTGGAATGGATGAGGGGATAGTGAGGTGTATTGAGAACTGGCTGAATGGCAGATCTCCATGGGTCAGGGTGTAATTAGAGGTCAGTCACTAGTGGTGTCCCCGAGGTTCAGCACTGGGCCCTATATTGTTTAACCTATTCATCAAGGACTTGGTGAAGGGACAGGTGCCTCCTGAGAAAGTTCACTTATGACACAAACCTATATTGGAGTGGCCAATACCCCACAGGGCTGTGCAACCCTTCAGAGGAGCTTCAACAGGTTGGAGAGATGGGCAGAGCAGAACCTCCTGAAATCCAACAAAGGCAGATAAAGCATCCTGCACCTGGGAAGGAATAACCCCAGGCACCAGCACAGGCTGGGAAACAGCTCTGTGGAGAAAGACCTGGGTGTCCTGGTGGGCAACAAACTGTCCATGTGCCAGCAGTGCCTTTGTGTCCAAGAAGGCCATTGGTATCCTGGGGTGCATTAGGAAGAGCATTGCCAGCTGGTCAAGGGAGGTGATCCTGCCCCTCTACTCAGCCCTGGTGCGGCACATCTGGAGTGCTGAGTCCAGTTCTGGGCTCCTCAGCACAAGAGGGACATGGAGCTCCTGGAGCAGGTCCAGCAGGGACCACGAGGGTGGTGAGGGGACTGGAGCATCTCTTACGAGGAAAGGCTGAGGGAGCTGGGCCTGTTCAGCCTCGAGAGGAGACAACAGAGAGGGGAACTCAGTGTTTATAAACACCTGGAGAGAGAGTGTCAAGGGGATAGAGCCAGGCTCTGCTCAGTGTTGCCAAGTAATAGGACAAGAGGCAATGGGCAGAAAATGATGCATGGAAAGTTCCACCTGAACATTAGGAAGAACTCCTTTACTGTGTGGGTGACTGAGCACTGGAACAGATTGCCCAGAGAGGTTGAGGTGTCTTTCTCATTAGAGACATCCAAGAGCTGCTTGGATGCAATCCAGTGCCATGTGCTTGAGGAGGGATGTTGGACCAGATGAGCAACTGTGGTCTCTTCCAACCTTAACTAATCTGTGATCCTGTGCTATGTATGTCTGTAGGCACTCAGATGTATATATTACTGCTTATACGTTCCAGTAAGTAAGCACTAGTTAATGCTTTATAAGCATTTTTTTTTAAATGGAGGGAATACTATAATGCTTGCAAATATTCTGTAAATACAATATGTGTGTACAGAACTTCATGAAATGGGTCAGCAGGAACTTTTAGGGGAGCTTAGTTTGCGCTCCCAGTTAAAATAGCAGCTCCTTTTATGTGTGCTCAGATTTTTCATTATTTCATGGCACTGCATATATAAATTACTTTCACTTCTGGGAAGAATTAGGGAGATCCCTGGAGTGTGTGTGCACTGCAGTTTTATATTAGCCTGTTGATTTCATGCTCGGAGCCATTAATTGTGCAGTCAAAATTAGCCACCACTGTTTTTGTTAAACATTGACTTTGTAGAAACTAATTTGAATAGCTGGACTTGACTATCATTGCCCAAAATTAGAAATAAACTTTATGGACTGTCTGAATGTGCCTCTCCTATAGACACATTCTACAGTATAGACACATCATATATATCATGTAGATAGAATTCTGTTACTGTGGTAGCTGAGTGTGTCTCTGAGACCATGAGGTAGTGCAAGTTAATACAGATGCTTCCAGTCACTGAAATCAGATCCTTCCAACTATACATGCTTATTAGAGGTGGCAGAGGAGGCTTAGGACTGTCTTTATCTGGCAGAGACTCCAAGAGACATTCAGACCACTGTGGCCTGAATTGCTTCCTGTCTCAGCTGAAGGGCATCCAGGTGACACTTTGCAGTCAGAAGGGTGATTGGGTCGTCCATGTTACCTTGTTGAAACAGAAAACATTTGTTGCTAATGATTTGCCATTTGCTTCTTGGACAAAGCAATTTGGTCTCCATATGCAGCAGTGCTTGAGTTTATACTTGGCATTTATTTAAAGGCAGAATTCATTGGCTTCTTCATTCAGAGTTTTGTATAACTGTTTTTTTCTATTTATTTTCAGGAAGAAGCCACCCAAAGCAGCTTGTGCAAGTGCCTTAAGGGGCGTCCGCTGTCAAAGATTGGGACCATTGCTTGGATGGTGACACTGAGTGATGCTGTACATAATTTCATTGATGGCTTGGCTATTGGGGCTTCTTTCACTTTGTCTCTGCTTCAAGGGCTTAGTACCTCCATAGCCATCTTGTGTGAAGAGTTTCCTCATGAACTGGGTAAGGAACTTTATTGCACATATTGTTTGCTGTGGAAATCACTGTTGTAGGTGGTTGTGTTGGCATAAAGTTGGCAGAGGTTGAAAGAAAATTTAGACAAATTAATAGAAAAAATATTCATCAAAAAGTTACTGAGCACCAAAACACATCTGGCGCAGGAAGTTCCTAAGTGCAGGTGGGTGGAAGCTGGGAGCATATATTGGACAGGTACTAATTATCCTGTTTATATATGCTGCATACAGTGTTGTGTTAATTAATTTTAAAACCAGAAATCATCATAGGTAGTTGTGTATTCCTGTGTTCTTAGCTCAATCTTGCCATCACTATTTGTTTAGAATATTTCAGTTTCCTTAGTATTAAAGCGAAATCCTCATCAAGTGTTTGAATGAAGAAAAACAACACAGGGATATAATGTGTATACAAATAATGTCTTTTCTTCAGACTTCCTTTGAAATCAGAAAATAACCACAATATAATTTTCTGAAGATGGTTTTCTCTTTTTATTCTTTTAGGGGATTTTGTCATCTTGCTTAATGCAGGAATGAGTACTCGGCAGGCTCTGTTTTTCAATTTCCTATCTGCATGTTCTTGTTACATTGGCTTGGCCTTTGGAATATTAGTAGGCAACAACTTTGCTCCTAACATCATCTTTGCTATAGCCGGTGGAATGTTCCTGTACATCTCTCTGGCAGATATGGTGAGATATAATTTCATTTTCAGTTATTTATTTCTCTGCAAAAAAACCATATACTCCACTAAGTCTCTCCAGTAGCATTTAGTATTTTCTCCTTCTCATGCCAGTGACTAATAATAATAATAATAATAATAATAGAATATTGTCACTTAAACCCTTAATGGAGGTGCACAGAAAGTTATTGTTAACCTATAGGTAACAATTTCTAAGGCCTTGCCTATTGGTAACAAGTTCGATTTATTCATGAAACACTAAAGCCTTTCACCTCATCATATTATTATTGAAAGGGGTTTTAGACAGACAAGCCTTTCATGAATTTGGCCTGGTTTAATCAAAGAGTAAAACGTGTATAAACACTTCTTTTCAGCATTTTAAAGTGTCACTGTATTTCATCTTATTATTTTAAAAGATTCATTTGTCTATTTATACCATATTGCGAAAGAAAAACAAAAAAAGAAAGGTAAACAGAATTAAGTTAAATATTAAGTTTTGAATTGAATGAAAGGTGTTGTGTAACCACCTTTCATTCAACTCAATGAAACTGTAATGAAAAACTTGGTTTAAATTCTATCCTGGTTTAAATTGAAGAGTGCCAGACTCATTTTCGTGGTTCAGACAAAAATTTTGCTGAGTTCTATTCAAAATAGTCTGTCTACCATTTATTTTTCAAAGTGTGATAGAAGATATAAGGAAAAGAGATTGTGCTAAAATCCAGATTGTATTTAGGCATTGGGGAAAAATCTGGATTCACAGGCACTTAGCAATATTCCATAATTTCCTCTTATTATGATATTTTGTTTCAAAATGAGTGAGATCTTTCAGAAGTTCTAGTTTTTATTATCTTTAATTCAGTGTTGTAAGAAAAGATGCAACAGGTGCAAAAGTGTTTACATCTGCCACGTGAGAATCCTTTTGAGTGCAGAACTGGAAGAGGGAAGCCTGAATCTGAAAAGATTTGAGACTCCAGTTTGGTTCCATGTGCATTTAGGAACTGTTTGTAGTGACTATTTCATTAAATACTGTTATAGTTTAGGTAATAGTATAGGATTTAATAAGTTGTTAGAGTTATAAACAATATAAATAGTTTATTTTATAAGCTTGCAGTATCTTAATTACTAATGTTTTTCGTTTAGCTTCACTCATGTAATGAATAGTAATGTACTGGACTCTGATGTGTAAATGGTGTAAATTTATAGTGACTCAAGTTTGTTATTAAATCCATCAAAGTAGGTAACGTTCTTTTCTTTGTATCTGTTGTTCTGTTTTCTCTGTTCCTCTCTATCTGTCTCTCTCCCTGTACCCTCCTCTCTTTCTTTTTGTAGGTTTTTGGATTGTATCAGTTACCTATCTGAATTTTTCTTCCCCCTGAAAAGTCTGAAATAGGGTATTGAAGTCTCTGTACAGAGATGTGGCTTTCCACTTTCTTACGATTTTCACACACTTCTGGTTTGCTTGTCCAAAAGCAGGTAGGATTAACTGGAATGTCATGCCTTCCTCCTTTTCTTTTTGCTGTTCTTTTTTCTTCCGGTATTGACATAGTCCAACCTCTGCCAGTGCGATCACTGTGTGGGGAGGCTGTGGGCAGGAGGGAATGTGTGCTGAGGTGTGTGCACAAATGAGCCTTGCTGTATGGCATGAAGTTAATCTGGTTTTGTGCTGTTGTGCAAGAGTTTGACAGATCTATGGAACGATTTCTGGGAAGCTTTAGGGCTCTTCCAGCTAACCTTAGCCTGTTCTTCAAGAATTGCTTTACGTTCAATGGATGTTTTTCTGTTGTGAGATCAAAGAAAGATACAGTTTCTGAGTCACCCAGCTTGAAGGCTTCCTAACTAGGGCTGAAATAAACTGTCTTCATTGTATTCTGGTTATAGTATTCTCAGCAGAACAGGAGAATACTTTAAGGTTTATTTCTCAAAAGCCACTGTAGTTGACTTTACCTGTAGCACATACCCTGAATCACCCCACACAGGGAGCTTCATGCCTGTGCTCTTATGCTATCACCTCCACTGGCTCCAGAGACAGTATCTTTGTGCAGTTAGCAGATCAGTCACCCTTTGCTCTCGTGTTAACCATTGAATTGTGCATTACGGAACAAAAAAATCCCTTCATGGCACTGTGATGTCATATTGCATCTGTTACCACCAGTTTCACACCAGTCTTCTTCCTCTTCTTCTTTGCTTGACCTGATGAGCCCACCAGACCTTCGACATGTAAAAGGTTTCTGATTTCTGAGGGGTTGTCGTGTTTTCATCTTCACTTCATTTTCCTTTAGATAAAGCAGAGGAATCCTAATCTTCTGTTTCCCAAACAAGGATTTCTCTTTATAGCAGTGGAGGAAGAAAGAAAACATTTAGCATTACAAGGGCAGCTGCTTCTAGCAACACGTGGACCAACAACTGGAACCTAGGAGGCTGCTGTAATCAAAAAGCGAAAATTTGCATGAGACACAGCCAGATAAAGCCCCAGTAGAGAGGAACAAAACACCATTTCATCATACCATCCTTGGTGGAATAGTTTTTCAGGATAATTAGGGTGATACTTTCCTGTGATTGCCTTCACCCTCGGTTAGTTCTAATATTCAGTCCAGAGTAGCAATATGGTTCAGTTCATAATGCCTTAAATTAAGCACGCTACCACGAGATGGCAATACTTATCTAAAAATCTCCCTTTTTTCAGTTCCCCGAGATGAATGATATGCTGCGGGAGAAAGTGACAGGAAGGAAGACGGATCTTACATTCTTCCTTATTCAGAATGCTGGTTTACTAACGGGGTTCACTGCTATCCTGATGATTACCTTGTATGCAGAAAATATCGAGCTGTGAGAACAGAGCCAGCATTGGAGACATCAAGGAAATTGCAAATGGAAGACACTTGAAATCCATGCAGGAACATTCATTTAAGCTACTCGGTTTTGGAATGGTGGCAAGGCCAGTCCTGTCCCTCTTGCCCCAAATACGGGAAGTTCTTCTTTAGGACTTGCAGTTGAGCCAAATAGTAGGAGCTGTCAGCTTCTGTATGATGCCAAAAAAAAATAATGCTAATATTTTTATTTCTACTTAAAATTATCAGACATATCTGAACATAGAGGAAGGGTGTTACTTGGCCAGTAAAATTATGTAATACATGCAACTACATGTAACTCCAAACCAACTGAAAGCTGAGGTCCACAAGGAAGATGTGTATTTAAAATAAAATAATACAATTTAATATCCTTTTTTAACTGTGATGAAGGTAGGCAGTTTCAAAACTGGTTAATTTTTATGACTTTTGTTGACTTTTTCTCCCCACCAAAAAATGAGGAAAAAAAAAAATCAAACCATTTCAGAGTAGGTACTAATGAAGCTAAGATTTTTAATTACTAATTAACACTGGAAGCAAAGATACCAGTTCCTGCTTTTGATCTTTTCTCTTTATAAGTGCACTAGGGAATTGTTGATTTGTTTTGAGAACCACTTTTTTAATTAGAGGAACCTGTGTTAAACTTATGACTGTTTATCAACTCCATAATATTTTAGAAACATTGAGTACTTTAAAAATGTTTGAGTATTGTGCATTCTATGAAAATAATAAAGTTTTATACTTAAGTTTCACATCTATCCCCTTTAAAAATCAGGTTTTTAGTCTTAAAAAGGAGAATTTAGGAAAAAAAACCTGCTAAAATCAATATTCCAGTATGCTTTCTTCATAATTTGAATGATTTCTCTGTTTGCAGTTGGCTGGAATGAAATGATAATAAAATACACAAATTCTTACCACAATCTGTTGCGTGTGAACTTTGTAAAATCATGCTTATAAGTTCCTCTGAAGTAAACAATTCATCTACTCATTATTAATCTCTTGTAAGATGAGTGCAAGGAAATGAATGAAAAAATACATTCCATTTCAATCACCACTTTGCTTTGAAGGAAGTGTTGCTATTCTCCAGTAAGTTACTTTTTTCATTGATTTTTAAGCAAGTTTTACAGCTTCAAAGGAGATACTGTTTTTTGATGTATTTCCTTGCTGTAGGAAGGTGCAACTATTTTATTTTTAATTCTTTATTAAAATATTTTTTCTATCAGGTAAAGTATTTATTTTAATACTTTATTTGAATCTAATCTGTAATTACCTTAATTAAGTAATACTTAATTAAGTATTTAAAAAAAACTTCTCTAAGTGTCTTTTTAATAAAAGCTTTAAGGCAAACTGGACAGGAGTTGTAAATAACACTTTAATATATGCTATAAATGTTAAAATGTAAATATAGTAGCCAATGATACTTACTGTATGGAAAAAGCATTTATTAGTCATTTTGTGCCCTCTAAGTTTCTTTGAGGAAGAGCCCACCATGTCTTTCCTTTAATTCTTTCTTTGTTGATTTCTTGGATATAAGCTGTTTGTAAATGTTACTTTTGTGTATGACAATGTGTTATAAGTAACCATGAATGTTCATAGACTTCCTAAAATAATGTGACCATTACTAGTACATCAGATTATTTTAATTATATGCACGAATGTTACTTTTCACCTTTAAACCCAAATATTTGCAAAGGAGACTTGACTTTTAATTCCCTAAGGAGGAAGAACTGAAACAAGCAGGTCATTGGAATAACCTACTTTTGGATCACGCAGCAGACAGGAGATGGAACAAAGTCTGATTTTGGGTGTAGTGCTTTAGTCACAAACCAAATTGCTTTTTCTGCTAGTGGGATATTTAGTACATAAGAAAACTTTTTGATTTCTATATGAGCAGGTTTTTCTGTGTATCTTTGCTACTATCCTTGTCCAGTACATATAAAATACATCTATTACAACTCTAGGACTCCCAGTGATTTCCAAGATTTGCAGAGCAGGGCACTGACTTGGATTTTCTTCTGCAGGCTATTTCTCCATGGACTGGTAGGTGCCAGCAAATAATTTCATGTATGCATACGCTCAAAATGCCTATTGCAGTTCTTGACTTTTATTTTACTATAATATCCCATCCTTTCCAGGAATGCTGTAGGTGCCTTAACAGCTCTTACACTTGATTCACAAGTTATCTCTCTACAATCTGAGAGGAAACTCATCTCCTTATCTTTGCAGTTCAATTCAAAATGTACACGTGTGTCAAGCTGACAGAGGTTGCTGGAATGAAGAGTAGAGAGAAAGCCATAGATCTGGCAGTAGATGTAATCCACTTGTCAAAGGCAAGGTTACATTCTATTTTGGGGCTTTAATCCATACTACACTTCTTTTGTATCCAATATATTGTCTCTTTTTTTTTTTTCCTTATTACAGTGCTTTTGAAGAAGATAATGTAATCACATGTATTTTGGTTAATATTATGATCATAATGCTTTGTTCTAATTTAAATACCCTCCACAGTTTCTGCATCTTCCTCCATTTAAAAAGTAAGTGCTACAGTAAGGTTTGAGGTACAAATAGGAGATACAGAATGTCACAGGAAGTGAACTGCAAGGAAGATGTAGCTTGAATTTACGAATTTAGGAAATAATGTAATTCTCCATAATACAGCTATTAACTGCTGCTCGGGATGAAAGCACTGTAAAGGATTTATCGGATCCAAATTTGATTTCCTTTAGAGAAATAATAGTTCCTGACTCGGAGGACAAAAAACTTAAGCATTCTCCCTTATCTTGACTACTTCCATGGATGGTTGTTCATTTCCTACTGCTTTCTGTCTTTCTTTGGTCCTTTAAATCACGATCAGACCCGTGAAGTTGCCAAAATTAGCCACGTTGCGTTTTGTGGAGTTGGTCTTGACAATGCCTGAGTTATTAAAATGAAAATAGTAACTAGCAATCCTGTTCAATAAAAGCCTGTAGCTATTATACCAGATACTTTCTTATGTAGAACAGTAGTGATATAGGCAATCAAAGACAAGCAGAAAATTTATTTATATCCAGCTAGCCTTAGTCAGTTGGAGAAACAGCAGCAGTTGTCTGTGGCTGGGCTGGTTGTTGAGAAGATGATGTGCAGCAGGCATTCCTCTAGTGGTGAAGAGTGAAAAAACCAATCTAATTAGAGGAAACATGAAACAAGATTATATGAGTCAAGCAGACTTATTTAGCTAGAGAATACAAAATGGCTTTGATGGCATTGGCCTAAAGGATACAGAAACTGCACTAAAATGCACTTTTCCAGTTCATGGATGAAAGCTAATGAAGCGCTTGTCTCACAGAAAATAAAACAATAAAAAACTGACTGGAGAAAGGTAAATAGTTTTTCAAATTGTTTCTGTAAGACAAAAATATTGCTATGTCACTGATTTGTATTTTTTTTGTTCTTGCAATAACTTGAAAATGAAAACTTATTTTAGAACATTTCTCTTTGAGAAAATCCTATTTGTGTCTGATGCTAAGAAGATTTTGAAATTATTTCTCAGGTTTTCATGTACTGGCATCAGCTCTAGTAAGGTTTATCACAGTGTCTCTTTTCCTCACTTATTTTCTATAAATTCTATTTTACAGGAAGTTCTTGACCATTTTAATAAGCTATTAGTAAGATGATACAGATGCTCTTTTGGTTGAAAAAATCTTAATAGTGATTTCAAATTGGTAAGTGCTCATTAGAAGTAAGTTATGATGGGATTTTAAAGCTCCTTTTACAAACAGCAGACCCAAGTGCAAAAAAACTCTTCAGTAATGATGAATGATGATGTACTAAAGAACATTTTTCTCTGTGGCATCAGAGGAATTGTCCTCTTTCAGTAGAGTTCTATTAACTTTTTTTCATTGGTATATTAAAGAAATCAGACACAGATTTTATGAACTGACAATGCATTAGATGAGGTTCCCTGGCCCTTTTTTATTTTTTAAAAAATAAGTCCATAAAAATTACTCTTTTTCTAATTATTATTTTTATTGCTCTTCCAGTCATAGCAATATCTGTGATTGCTTGTTTTACCATGAAGAAAAATCGTGTACCAGCTTAAATTAATTACTTCCTTTGATAACAACCAAGGGCCTTATTCACTGAAGTATTTGTAACAGATTTCTTCTATACTTCAGGGAGAACTTTGGGTATGGAGGCAGCATAGAGCTGATTTCTAAATATGACCATGCACACAGTATTTTATATTTGAACTGCCTTCTGCCAAGATTATTTTGTGAGCTTAGGAACCTGCATGGTGCAGTTGGGCTTGCAGAGTGTGTAACTTCTTCTTTGAGGGGTGGACTGGATTGTCCATGGCACACAGTGAAGGGTTGTGTTGGGGGAGATCTGTACAAGCTCAAATAAACCCAGCACTTTGTGTTCATCCAGTGTGTGCAGGAAGAAGGACGGCCATGTTGATAAGGCAGTCAATCCTAATAAGAAAGCTCTACTCTGTCACAGAATTTTTGTGACACAGGGATGGTGTACTTCCATTAAGTGGTAGTAGTATTTACATGCTGCATTCTAGGCACAGGACTTTCTGTCTTAAATGTATATTTACAACTACAATCTTGTTCTATCATGACCATATTTTAACACCTTTGGGATAAAAACATCCTCACTCTTCAGTTTTGCATGTTCATCTTTTTGGCTTTTCTTTTTTTTCTTTCTTTTTTTTTAGTCATGGAGTGTATAGAATTCAGCTACAAGGTAATGTGAAACAATTCCACAAAACAGTAAAGAATGGATGACATAAGGAACTTACGCTCAGTCACTGAAAGTAAAGCTTCAGACTTTTGAAAAGTTGACAATGATCACAGCAAGCAGAACCTGCATTTTACATTTCATCTGAAAAGTTATAATGCTTGGCACTTAGAACACCATAATGTAATCCTGGTTCAATGCACTCTCTGCAACACTTTATATGTCATCAGTTCTTGAAGAGTTTTTGATCACTTGTTTCTGGGTTGCAGCCTCACTTCTTGACTAACGTCCTGTTTCCTAGTCTACCTAGCCATGCTGGGGAGAAAGCTCATCGAGTAAAACACAACAGAGATGTGTCAGTCCATTTTTAAGGCAGAGCTC